ATGACACCCAAGTACCAACATGTATTTGAAGAAAGCCTCTAACATAAGGGATTGTCTAAAAATAGACAAACAGAAAAAAAGGAAATTGGGCAATATATAATAGAGTAGAGGAGAACACTTAAAATACTACAATATTCTAATAAATAAGATAATATATCAATAAGATAAAAATAACATGCTATGTAAAACAGTGAAAAGAAGAAATATCTTCTGGGAATGAAAATTGTGGCAGAAATCTTTTCTTAAATTCAGTAGAAGCTTTGGAAGATGAAGTCAAGAGAATCTCCCAGAAGTTAGAATCAAAAGATAACGAGACAGAAAATAGAAGAAAGTTAGATGATAAATCCAATGGAGACAAAAACCAATGTCCAGGAGTTCCAAGAAGAGGAAATACTAAAATGTATGACATCAAAATATTTTAAAATAATAATACAAGAAAAATTCCCCAAACTGAAGAAAACAAGCCTCCAGATTGAAAGGGCCCACTGAAAACCAAGCACAAAGCATGAAAAAAGGCCCATTCCAAGGTCTAACATTGTAAAATTTCAAAATGCCAGGGAAAAAAGAAATGATTATTAAAGCTTTCAGAAACAAAAAAAGCAAATCCCAGACCAAGTATTAGGAATCAGAATGGCATAGGGCTTTTCAATTACAATATTACAATCTTTAAGACAATGGAGTAGCCCCTTAAAAATCCTGAGTAAAAATTAATTTCAACATAGATTTTTATACCCAGCCAAAATGTCAAGTGTATACATAGAAAAATGGCATTTTCAGGCATACAGATACTTTTAAAAATGTATTATTCATATATTCTTTCTTATGAAAGTTACCCAGAGAACATACTTTAACTAAAAAAGGGAGTAAACTGAAAGGATGACTTACCAGCCAGAAAACAGGAAACTCTAATAGGATCATGTCTAAGGCTTGACCCAAGACAGAAATCAATGTGGCCAGACATAGACACCAAGAAGGATAAATCTAGGGGGAAGATTTAAAAGGAACTGATCATTTGTCTGATATGTTTTATTATTTGAAAAAAAAATTTTGATGTGTCTTTGACAGATCTGTTTGAACACTGGGGAAGAAATGTCAGTTACCTAAAAAAATAATCTGTTAAAAAGTAGGCAATTCCAGAAATAATAAAATTTTGTATAAAAAATTGAATCAAAATAATATGTGTCTCAGGAGTGAACAATAATTCTGTAATTATAATGTAAATGAACTACTGACTAATGATATAACCAGAATTGTTAGATCGGAGGATGAGATAGGTTCTGTTGAGTGACCTAAATTGTTACTTTTTTACTATAGAAAGTCAGTAGATAATGTCTAATATTGCAAAATCAAGAAATAGCATTATAAGTATGTCATATAAAATATGAAGATAAATATCAAAAGAGTGGATAGTGTGGGCCATTGAGGATAGGGCTTGGAGATGGGTGCGGGGTAGAGCATGGGCACTGCCCTTCTTCGTTATGAACAGTTGAGTACTATTTGACTTAAATTAGGTGAATTACCCTGATACAAAAAACTAATAAATAATAATAAAATTACATATGTCCATGATTAAGAAAAAAAAACGTGCTATGGTATAGAAGACTGTAAATGAACAGTAAAAACTCTGCCTTTCTCCATATCCCATCCTTGCTATGATTCTCCTGAGAAAGCCACTTTTAACAGTTTCTCCTTTTAGTGCTTACATTCATGACTTGAAGTATATCTTTTGGTAAAATATAACACTATCTGGACTTAGGTTTGCCTAGTTAGCCAAAAGATGGCCGCATCAAACTGCATTGTAGACACTGCAGGTTAATAGAGTACTTAGGGAGTCATGTACCACGGGCCTCTGACTGTTGTTGGTCCTTCATCCCAGAACCACTATATACAGCCAAGGAAGCAGTGCTGACCTAGTTGGGTGAGGCAAAGGGTTATCCTGCCAGTGGGAGCATGGCATTTCTGGCAAGAGATTCCTCTTCTAACTGTTGGAGTTGGTGCCATGGCAGATTTTCCTGACTCAGGGAGTAAGTGTTGAGCCCTGGTCCAGCTGGTTAGACTATTTGTTGATTTTGATGATCTGCACCAATAAGCTCTTTTTCTGGCACAGACAATCAGAAGCAGGCAGTAATTTTCCATCTTCCTAAGAAAAATGCTTTTTGCATTTTGCAACTATAATAAAGTTTTATTCAGTTTTCATCAAAATTCTGGGGGAAAATTTATTGAATTAAGTCAAGAACTCTTTAATCCTCAGTGTTAGCCATATATCCTTCAGCAGGTCAATTTTTCTACTTACCGCTTTGCTGTTCTTGAAATATCAATAGAGAAAACAATCAGCAATAATAGCACTAACTGTGTTTTACTCAGCTCTTACTATGTGCTGGACACTCTGATAAGTACTCAGCATCTCATTTAATCTTCCTGATAGCTTTGGGAGCTTGCTACAGCCATCTTCCTGTGTTAGACTGAAGAATCTGATTAACAGTCGAGTGACTTGTCCAGGGTCACAGGGCTGGAAAGTGCCAGAGCTGTGTCTGAAACCCTGATTTGTGTTGACTCTGGGGCCCATATGTGTTTTGTTTTGCTTTGTTTTTCAAGTTTTTATTTAAATTCCAGCTAGTTAACATATATGGTAAAATTGGTTTCAGGTGTAGAATTTAGTGATTCATCACTTACGTGTAACACCCAGTGCTCGTCATCATAAGTGGGGCCCATGTTTTTCTTTCTGTGTTTGATTGGCTTTCAGTGCAACCTCTGACTTTTTGTTACATGAGAACAAGAAAGCAGCTGATTTATATTCAAAACCTAATTACCAATGGAAGTGTGCATGTCTTGTTATTGTCACATAGTGCTTATAAAAATTGTCACCTCTTTTCTCTTTAAAAAATTTGGGATTTTTATACATTTTCTGTCATTTTTTTGTATCCTCTCAATTCAGAATTCTGGAGTTGTCTTTGATGTCTCCTTTTATTTCTTTGTATTCACCAACTTTTTGTTCGTTTGAAGTGTCTCTATTCTCACGTCTGGAATATTGCAACTCTCTTCATGGTCTCCCTTCCGCCAGTCTCTGCCACCTTAAACTGCTCATAAACAGGGCTCCAGTTGTTTTAAAGAAGAACTTCTCTCATATTGAATTGTTTAAACCATTAATATCTCTCCATTATCTATAAGCAAAATACAGCTTTATTCATCTGGAAGTCAAGACCTTTCACAGTGCAGTCCCATCTGTCATTCGATAAGTTAATGTGCCCTTACCTCTTTCCACTTTTCTTGTCCATGCTAATATATCCCTAGTCTGACCTATCAAAGCAGAGATTTTCTCTAATACTCACTTGTTTCTTATGTGCTTTGTAGTTTGATAGTTGTGTGTGTGTGTGTGTGTGTGTGTGTGTGTGTGTACGTCTCATTTACCTACCTGAATTGCTAACTCCTGAGTGTAGGGATGGAGGCTCTCTGAACCCATCATAATACTCAGGACGGTTTCTTGCATATAGCATCGTGTACAAAATAAATGAGTGAATTTTTGAAGTTTTAAAGTCAACATATATTTCCAATTCTATACACATTTGCTTTTGTTAATTTCATGTTAGGTGAATAAAACTTAACAGACTTTGATGTTTTTCATATCTTTAATTGTATTACATTATGGGAATAGAAATAAAATGGTATAACTTTATCAGTTTGAAATGTTTTACAGAAAGAGATCAGTTGCATTTAGTATTCTGATCTGAAAGATACAGAAAATCTCTGAATGAGAGTGATAGACTCGTTATTATATAGGTTTTTGAAGCTAAAAATATTTGAGAACTTGTTATAAGTTGTTTTATTAAACTGTAGATAATATATGATTTTGATGAGGCATAAACAATATTTATAATGTAATAAATGTCAAAAAAACCCGAATCATTTAGTTTATCTTGCCTGATGTATTAAATATAGTTAGAGAGTGCTTAGCATACTGAGTAATGACGTGAGGAAATTTGAAATGTTTTTAAATACTAAGTTTAAAACACTTTACTTAGACGTGATTTTGTTTTCCAAAAGGAGATTGCGTTTTTATGAATTAAAATTGCTTCTTGCTTTGTGTTGAATCTGAAAATGTTTCTACCTTTTGCTTTCCCTTTTGCTTTTCTGGTTTTAACAGTCTGAGTATTTATCTCTTTTATTTTTTAAAAAAATTATAGATGTTCCATGATAAATATTTCTACTTTAGTGTATATATTATTTAAAACTGTGTTCTATATAAGGTATTTTTGCTTTGAAATATTTGAGTTGCAGTAAGAGAAGGATAATTTCATCCTGAGACCAAAGAATAAACTATCATAAATTTTCATATATTTTAGATGTTCATATTTATTAATCTTAGACTGCTTTTGTTACCTTTTTTAGTGACACTTTAGTGTTATATTATTTTAGCTGAGAAATCTCATGTACTCTAAAGGCTTAAAGGTTCTCATGCCATATTTTTTCCTAAAGTATCTTTTTCCCAAATAATGTTGAGCAGCAATAATGATGCCTTCTTTTATACCTCACATTTTTTTAAAAGATACATTATTTTACCCTTTAATCTGGCTTTCAAAACATCCAAATGAAACCATAAATATACCTTTCAGAATATTCACATATTTGATGTAAATCACTGCATGGATCTGATCTAATCTCACAAATGAAAATGTTATATTTTTAAAGTAGTGGCATTTTTAAGTTCATATTCTTTAAAGGGACTGAGCCTTAAGAATGAGAGTGCCGATTATCCATTTTGACTCCTCTCATTTAATCATTTCATTTCTGAAATTAGACTTCATCTTACGATCCAAAAAAACCTCACTAATGTGCATTTTTGGCTGTGTTCATTCCCTTTGTCATCAAATGGAAGCTAGCCTAAATTTTCTAATAATTTCTCATCACATTAAAATTCACGGCAAACATAAAAATGAGAGCATTTTGAACTCAAGTGCATATAGCTTATATGGATGCTTTTCCCCCTCTCCCCTCCACCTAAGGAAATAGAGAAATTGAAATTAGAAGTGAGGGAAAGCAAGCAGCACTTGGAACAGGAACAGCAGAAGGCAGCCCGGGCCAGAGAGGAGTGCCTGAAACTGACAGAGCTGCTGAGCGAATCTGAGCACCAACTGCACCTCACCAGGTACTCCCTAATCCCATTACGCGCCAAAGCCCCAGTGCCATCCCACTGATTTTTGCCACCGGCTTCCAAACAGTTGTTAGAGTTAGTCTTAGTCACTCAATTCACACACAGCTTTCAGGCATATTAAGAAAAGTGGAGATGTGGTAAGCAAAACACCCAGACATGTGAATGATAAGTGTGGCAGGGAATTACTGATATTTTACAAACCCTTTCATCTACAATGCTCAAATATTTAGGTGGTTCTCTACCAATAGGAGCAACATGACATATTTCTCCTACCACCACCACTACCTCTCCTGTTAATTCTGCGTCTAATAAAAATGTTGAACTGAAAGATCTGAGGAATATATTTAGGAAAAGAACCAGATACTGTCAGTGGAGAATGAGACAAAGTAAAAGGCATCCTCAGATGCAAACTGAGACAGGACAGAGAGAAAATAAGGAAGCTGAGTCCTAAGGTATAGAAGTGAGAGATGAAATTGACTGACACTGTTCACGTTCAAACTGTTCTTATAACCGTGCTCTTGTGGTTTCGAATTACATGGTTTCTGTCACAAGATAATGCGATGTGATTATCAGTGTCCTACAACTTTAGGGAACATGTAGCTCAGCTCTAGGTGACAAGGAGACATTTTAGGTAGCAAGCACTGTATAATTTGCTGTGTGGAAAAGACACACACGCACACACACACGTACACACGCACATACACAAATGCACATACACAGAAAATTCAAATAGAGGTTGCAGATATTTCATGTTACCATATAAGTGGTTTTTCTCACTTCGGGTTTTAGTACAATTTTTCATGTTTCAGATCAAGTGTTTGGGTTTGTTCAGTTCTTAAGAGTTTTTTGTTTTTTATGGAGAACTTTCTCTAAATACACATGTAAGTTTATGAGCCTTGGTTTGGTTCATAAATTAGAAAAACGCTGGTTGTCTAATCATAGTAATATGTTGAATTTAAACTATGAAAGGGGACTGATCCCTTTTACATTAAATATGACAATGTAATTCTGAGCACGGTATGATAACAGATGGAGAAAAGCACCACTTGAACAGCCTGCGTTTGGAGAAAAAAATATTCTAGAGGTTGGTGAACCTCCCAAAGTTTTGGGTTAGTGTTAAGATGCCTCTAGTTCTGTTAAAATCAAACTTTGTTGAAAACATTTTGTTATGATAATATTCCAAATGGTTTGCCAACTTCCCTTTTTAAACCGTTTAAGAGAAAACGAGAAGAAAGAAAAAGGGAAAAAGCAAGTAAGAAAAGAAATCCTTTATACACGTGTGATATCTGGAAAAATCCCAAGAGATAAAACACTTTTATGAGAAAAAATTGCTTAATACTGTAGAATGCTAACCGTTCTTTTAATACTCATTCAAGGTATTGTCTTGTAGAACCGAGAACGTAATGTTAACACAGTTCCAATGGATTATTTAATCTCAGAAGTTTCGAAATTTAGCTTTACCATTATAGTTAATAGTTTTTCTTCTGTCAGGCTTCTGTTGGGAAACAATCATTTGTGTGCTAAGCACTACTAAACCACAGAAATAGGACAGCTTTCAAAGTCTCAGTGTGGCTGAGCTTTGGTAAATAAATATTAATGCTGGTTTTGTCCCCTTTGCCATTCTGTCTCATTCAGAGAGTTAATTTCTGAAGTCAGGGTCCTACAGGGAGTTTTCCTGTGCAGTATCAATTTGTACTGTCTGACAAGACCAGTTTCTTGCAAATAGAGCGTATTTGAGGTACAGCAACTGCTGAAAATGGACCAGTGGTAACTAATTCCTTTGTTCTTGAGAAAAACGGGTTTGCTTGGTTCCATAGAAAGCTTTTTCTGTTGAGCTTTATTTACAGCAAGTCTACAAAAATTGAAAACTAGTTTTAGGGAAAATAAAACTTAATTACACATTTTCTAAGCACAGTACTCTTTTGTAAGCATTTTACATTTAGTCTCTGTTCGTGTTTTATAAAATCCACATTCATAAATTTAAAGATGACAATTAAGAATACAGAGAACTGTGTGTAGCTCTCTTTTGCACTGAAAATGTGTCTTGGTTGTTGGGCTAAATATTTCTGATATACTTTTTTGGGTTTTTTTTAGAGTTTGCTTTTCCTCGACAGTCTTTATTGATTCAGTATACTCAAGTGTGTGGCTGAGAAACATTATGTCTTTCTTTCCCTGTGTAGACCAGCCGAAATAAATAAATCACACACAGGTAGCTTAGTGTTAACGTAAATATTTCGAATGACATTGTCTGCACAAAGTTTAAAATTGAATATGAAAACCATGTTATAAGTAATGATGAAGTAGGAATACAGATCTCCCAGGGCAAAGAAAATTTAAAAACTGGAGTATTGATCTGCAGATCAGTCTGAAAGAAAAATAAGCTATCGTTTGTCTGTTACTTCCCTTTACTGTCTAATTAGACTTAAAAATGGAAAATATAGGGGTGCCTAAGTTGGTGGAGCATGTGATTCTTGATATTGGGGTTCTGAGTTCGAGCCCCACATGTGGGCATAGAGATAACTTTAAAAAAATGGAAAATAGAAATTCAACATTTATTGAAAGACCCAACTGGTAAGTATAACATTTACCCACTCAACAAATATTTATTGAGCACCTACTATCTTTCAAGTACATTGCTTGGTCTTGGGTAGGGAGAAAAATATCAGATTCAGTTCTTCCCCGTAGGCTGTTCGCGCTGTGCTGTTGAGCCAGCTCCTTGTATGCAGTTATAATCAAGTGTGAGAATACTGCAGTGATAGAAATAAAGTTACCACAGGAGCACAGAGGAAGGAGAATTGGCGTACTGTGCATTGGAGGTGAAGATGATGGGGAAAGCTTTCTGGAGGAGGAGATGTTTGGTAGCTATTTGGATTAACGAGCTCTTGAATAGCAATTCTCTATGTGGAAGAAGGTGGGGTGGGTACCCCGGGTGGATGGAGCAATATCTACAGAGACATAAAGATGGGACGAAACATAAACTCTACAATCAGGTTAGGTGTTTGGCAGGGGATACGCCTGGAAAAGGCAAACAGGGACCAGAGGAAGGGCCTTGTGGTCCATATTCTGGAGTTTTGACCGTTCTGAGAGTCATAGGTTACTCTTGATATATTTTAAGCAAGGCTGTCAACACGATCACATCTTTGGGTCAGTATTCTGATTCAGCAGCATGGAGAGTAAACTTGGAGAGCTGATGTAGGAAACAGGAAGACCAGTTAGGGCAGAGTCAGCAACTACAGCCTATAAATATGGCCTGTTGTCTCTTTTTGTCCATGGGCCAAAAATGGTTTTTATATTTTTTAAATAGCTGGGAAAAAAAAACAAAAGAAAAATAATGTTTTGTGACACATAAAAATTATATAGTTATAAATAAAGTTTTATTGGACACAGCCATGAATATCCTTTATGCATTATGTATTGGGACTATCATGGCAGAATTGAGTATGGTCCTCAAAGCCTTCAAATATTTATCAATCCCTCAGTTAGGAGGGTGTGTAATTCAAGTAAGTCAAGAGAGCTTGAACTTTAAGGGATTCAAATATGTATTTAAAGAAGGTAAATGAAGGGTAATTGAAGGCAGATTGCCTGAGGAAAAGATGATTGACAGGGCCCCTGACTAGAATATAAGCCCCAGTCCAGGGGGTGGTAATGAAGTCCTGGACTATGGCTTTGCCGGTAAAATGGAAGGGAAATTTTAAGAGGCATTTAGGTAGCAAAAGAGAGAGGCCAGAATTAAAGTTGACTCCAGTGTTTCTAGCCTACGTTAACTGGATGAACCATTAATTCCAGTAGGAGACTTAAAAGGAGTAAGAGAGGGAAATAATATACTGTATTTTGGGACTTGGGTGGAGATGTGCAGTGTAGGTCCAGTTTGAGGAAAAAGGTCAAGACCTGAGGCTCTTCACTGGATGCTTTCACATAAAGCTACTAGTTGTAGCCAAGGAAATGGGTGAAAGCATGAGAGGGCCACGCTCTTAGAGTAGGGGGTTGGAGAGCCACCAGCCAGGCAGACCAAAGGAGTCATCAGTGCCTAAGAAAAGAATATGGAATGGTGTAACAAAGGCACATGCTTTTCTTAGGGGAGTCCCCAGGCTTCCGGGTGTTGAGGAAGCCGAGTTTTAGAATCTTCTCCTGGGCATTCACCATCTTTGCAATTTTGACACGTTACTTAATTCTTTGAACCTGCTTGCTTACCTATAAAATGAGGCTACAACCTGATTTCTAAGTTTCCTTCTAGCTCTGATCATCAATGATCCTAATGGTGATTGAAGACATCCCATGATGAAGAGCCCATTTCCTGATATTAGGCATTTAATTTGCCTGGAGTATTCTTTGTTTAAGATGTTTTCTTAGGGGGCCTCTGGGTGGCTGAGTTGGTTGAGCGTCTGACTCTTGATTTTGGCTCAGGTCATGATGTCAGGGTCCTAAGATTGTGCTCCTTGTCGGGCTCTGCGCTCAGCAGGGCATCTGCTTGAGATTCTCTCTCCTTCTCCCTCTACCCCTCCCCCACCCTTCTCTCTCTAAAATATATAAATTAATCTTAAAAAAAAAAAAGATGTTTTCTTAGTTTGAACTTCAGAGAGATTTTGTGGAGACATCCTTCAGACCTACCATTTGCATTCACCCTAACTTAGGCTCTGCTGACCATTCACAAGGGTCATGGACCCTTCCAGCCTTTTTCACCAGGTATTGCCAACTGAATATTCCTAAGCACTGCCTTGACTCTGTCACCTGCTCCTGAAACCTTCCCTGGCATTGCACTATTACAAAAGGTCCAGTCCACTTGCAGGTAACCTTTTGGGACGGGGTCCCAGCCTTCTAGTTTTACCATCATTCTCACCAGCTCACATCACAAGCCAAATTGCACTTTGGGGCTTTTCTCTCCTTTGTTATTCTCTACATCTAGAATACCCCTTTGACCCTCTCCAGCCGTATTATAATCCTACCTCCTTTTCCAGGTCTCTCTGAACTTCTGATTTTTTTCCACTGTAGCCCTC